TCTTTCTGTCTTTCCCTTTCTTTCTTTCTTTCTGTCTTTCCCTTTCTTTCTTTCTTTCTGTCTTTCCCTTTCTTTCTTTCTGTCTTTCCCTTTCTTTCTTTCTGTCTTTCCCTTTCTTTCTTTAAAACCAACCAGCTCTTTTGATATATCTTTTCTTTCGATTTGTGGACAGGGGACAGGCAAGTTATTACAGGTTTATCTTTGTAATCAAACAGGTATAGTCCTTTGTTTATCTGAGATAATGGCAAAGCGCAACGTACGCACTAAGGGACGAAGGAACAGACAGAATTATATGTTACAGAGAGCTAGTCTTTCCAATCATTCCCTGACGTGCTGGGTTCGATCCTTACTAATCGCTTCAGGATTGTTTCCATAAGTTTATCGTCTTCTTTTATGTACCGTGTCCCTTTAGGACGTGACGAACCATAGCCCTCCAAAGCTTCCTGTTCTTTGTAGTTCTAAGCAACGCTTGTCTCCTTATCCTCCCCCTCAATGTCCCTGTTCTGTCATCGATTTACATAAAATTATTAGGTAATCTTTCCTGCTCCACTTAGTAAAATGTATGTTGTAACTGAACATCTTAACCGTATATATGTATAATAAATAATAGTAAGCGCATCTCTGTGGAATAATGACTACGGAGCCAACCTAACAAGATATTACTATGCTGTAGGGATTTCTAAAATAACTGGATACATCACAGTTGTAGCCTTTGTTAGATTAAACTCAGCTTAGTGTAATAACAATGGAAAACTTGGTGCCTGCTTTTCAAGTTTTATTTGATTCAATTGTATAGTTACAGTTAACAGTTTAACCATTCACTCCGCTTGGTCCAGTAATCAAGGCTTCGCATGTATACTCACTCGGAACCGGAAGAACAAAACCAGCATTTCCGCTTGATACGCTCGTTCAAAATTAGATACATGAAGTAAATACAATCTGATTCCGTATGGAATCCATATAGTACAGAAATAAATTAATTTCTACATAAAAGGCAGAGCGCTTTGCCTCGATCTTTGCTTCTAACTCACAGGCCACCCACTTCCCAACGTCCCCCCGTGTATTAATGACATTATCAGCAAATTTCATTATATTTATTACAGCCCGGGGAGTCTCAAGACATCAAAAGTCTTGACCCTACGAAGGTCACTGGCCCAGACAAAATTCAAGTGGTTGTCCTTAAGAATATCAACCCAGAGTTATCCCTGATTTTAGTGAAATTATTTAACTGCTGCTTGAAGAAGAAATCCTTCCCAAATTTGTGGAAGGTGTCAAGTGTATGCCCTGTTTTCAAGAACGCAAGTGAGCGCTCATCCCTCTTTCAGTACAGACCCATTAGTCTTCTCAGTGTCATTAGCAAACTTTTTAGAGCTATAACCAGCAAGAAGGTTGTTGATCAACTCAAAAGTAACAACCTCTTGAGCGACAAGCAGTACGGATTTAGATCGATCGATCGCCTGCTGCTATCCTAAGTGCCATTATTCACAGAATCAGTGAGGCGCTAGACAATAAATACATCTCAAGGACGATCGCATTAGATATTTCAAAGGCCTTTGATAAAGTGTGGCATAAATGATTACTGCACAAGCTCTCTAGTTATGGAATCACTGGAAGAGTCTTCTCAGTTATAAAATCCTTCCTAACGAGTATGTCGCTGAAAGTAGACGTTAAAGGCCAGTCCTTCGAGGCCCTAGCAATCAATGTAGTTGTCTTCCAGGGTTCGCTTCTTGGTCCAACCCTGTTTCTACTTTCCAAAAATGATCTGCCTAAGAGTATATTCTGACTATTTGTGAATATTTATGCTGATGATGCACCTCCCAAACTCTAGATGACCAGAGATTGGCAGCTGATCTCTCCTCTGATCTAGCTCTGGCAGCGCAGTGGAGAAAAAACTGGTTGGTCACATTCAATTGCTCGAAAAACAAACCAGTTACATTTTATTATCGGCGATCAGATCCAGAACTATCACCAATCACGATGAACAGATATTTTGTTTTGTTTGTTTTACATTACATTATAGAAATCATGCTTAACACGTACGTTAAAAAGAAAGAGGAAGGGAGACAAAATAAAAGAGAAAGAGATAGGCAGAGAGAGCGGGAAGAGATGAAAAGGTAGCGAGAGAATGAGAGATGAAGAGAGAAAAGGCGGGAAGAGAAAAGGTAGACTGATAGCAAGCTAGCTAGCTAGATTTTTTTTTTTTAATCGAATTCGCCCCATACAAGGTAGAAAACCCACTAAGACACAGGGGGTTACTGGGTGGAAAAAAACAACAACAAAAAAAAACAAGCATTATTGAGGAGCGAGAACAATAAAAGAGTAATCAAGACAGACGATAACGATTGACATTGGATTTAAATTTTTGAAAATCAAATTTGATTGAAAAGCAAGAAGCCATAAGGGAGTTCCACAAGCGGGAAGTGCGAGAAAAGACACTGTTAGCATAGAATTTACGGCTACATCTAGCCAAATCAACTGTAAATTGATGAGATCTTGTTGCTAATCTAACATTGCTCTTAAATTCATAAATTCTAGGTACTATAGTAAAGAGTTCATCCGAACAATTAGCATGAAATTATTGATAGAAAAGGCACAGGGAAGCAACTTTATACTGGTGGGAAAGTGATTGAAGCTGAGACGCCAGGTCAGGACCAATAATATTACTGATTCGTTTTAGGATTTTATCAAGAATCTTTAAATATATAGCAGGAACACTGGAATATACGTGACAACAATATTAGAGGCATGAACAAATGATAAACGTATAGATATATAAGATAAATTCAGGAGAGAAAAATAGTCTAGTACGACCTAGTGAACCAACTTTCTTAGCAGCAGACCTAGCATAGATAGATAGATAGAGAGAAAGAAAGAGAGAGAGAGAGAGTGATAATGAAAGAACCAGAAGGATAGTCTCATGGCCTGACCGATTTTGTCCTTGTATACGATCGTGTCTCTGGTGTCTTTTCGCAGTGTTTCTTTTTCTGCTTTATATTAACGTCACTATCGATCAAATTTAATGCAATACAAAAATAACCGAAAAAAATAGGAAAGAAAGAAAGAAATGAAAATGTCGCTTGTATTCATTGAATTTTGAAACGGCCTGGCTGTTAACTCTGACATTTTCTCTCTGATGCTTTTCCACACCACAAAATTAAAACAAGTCAGAGAAACTGAAACCATACAAAAGATAATGTAATTTAAAATGGTCTGAGCTCAGAAGACATCTCACTTTTATTTAGTTTTTAACAATGTTACGTGATATCTGTCCTTCCATATGGCAGAGAATGCTGAACAATCTCCTCAAAAGATTAAGAAAAACTCGAAGCAACAGAAATGTGGTTCTACAGAAGGATATTAAGGATACCATGAGCCGAACATGTAAACAATGATGAGGAGAGAATGGAAGCAAAGAGGAATCTTATACTTAATATCAGGAAAATGCAGCTGAAAATCTGGGACACGTAATAAGGAAGGGGGCTTGGAAAATCTGATACTCACAAGACGGATAGCAGAAAAGAAGGACAGGGAAAGCAATGCATGTCATACTTAATGGGCTTGAGAAAGTGGATGACAGTACAGGGTCTGGAAAAAATATAACAAAAAGACAAAACTTATTAAGAGCTACAAGGGACAGAAGGAAGTGGAGGGTCACGATCGCCTACCTCCTGAAGAGATACGGCACATAAAAGCAAGAAGAACAATATACGATGGAACAACTTGGTGTTATTAACAACAACAACAACTATAATAATAATAATAATAAAATGTTTCTAAGGAATCAAGCGTAAATATAAATTTTAAATATTAAATTTAAAATATATTTAAATTAAATTTAAATGTTAAATATTATACTAAAAATAATTTAAATTCAACTTATCTGTATTAATATTTCGAATCATTTTATTATACATATGCATAATATATCTATTATATATATTTTTTTTTTTTATTTATTATATAATAATAATAATACCTACATAAAATTATGTAATTTAACGTATGTCAAGGCGAGCAGAAGTTTGGCAATATGCGTGTTATTATAATCTTCCTAAAACCAGATCTTCTGATTCATGTTACACAAATTTCCACCGCTGGCTAGGTGTGAACGCCCCGAAATTCAAGACTGAACTAAAAATTCCGTCAACTGCGCATCGGCTCCGCACATACCATCCGTTTTCCTTACGCACTCAAAGAAAAATACAATCCAGAATTTCCATTCAATAGCACCCACTTCCACTTAAAAAACCAAAATAAAAATTGGAGCTGATCTGAGCCTAAGAAAAAGACATAAAAGCCCATCAAAGGGACATTTTCGGCAGTCGGATGGTACAACAGCCAAGATTCACAACGCTCGTCAGAACGCGACCTCCTATCTCCAAAGACAACTAGCGAAAGACCGTCGCCGCAGTAAGTCACAATTCACACCCCCATCTCCTACCGTACGCCTCTGTGGATGACTTTTACGATTCTACTTATCTCTTTCTTTCAACGAGAGACATTTACACCGATTTACCATTTGTTGTATTTTTTACGTTAATACAATTGTTTATTTCTTAAACCACTGTCGTTTCTTTGTTCTGCCAACATACGCTTAATATAACAGTGCTCAATAGATAACTTGTTGCAGGGAGCAATTCGTTTATGTTAGACTATCCCCACAAACATTAAAAAGATAGAAGTGACACAGCAAAGGCAAGGATACCTCTAACGAGAATTAGAATAATTAATAATAATCCCAAATTTTTTTATTGGAAAAATCAAAGTAACAAAGAAAAACGAAAAGGTCTAGTGTTTTGAATTGCTCAGATTGGTCGTGTTGAAAGTTGTCATCGGTCCGAGCTGAGCCAATATTTAGTAGACTGGTGATGTAACTGGAGTTGCGAGTTTGGTTGCAAACAGGCGTGGAAGCGGCCTGTGCGAGGCGTTGGTATAGCTAGCGGCTTGTAGGTCAGAAATTACTGCCTAAGCTGCGAGTTATGTTGTTAGGCGTTGCTGCTTCAGGTTAGACAGGCTGCAGAGCTGGTAAGTCTGCTTCGTTGTATAGGTTGGAAGAAAAGGCTTTGTGCTCGGAAAAGGGCAGTTTTTTTTTTGTTTTTGTTTTTGTTTTTTGGTAGCGGGGAGAAGAAGAGACTTTGTGGCCAGGAAAGAACAGTCGGTTTTTGATGGCGGAAAGAAGAGACTTTGTGGCCAGGAAAGAACAGTCGGTTTTTGATGGCGGAAAGAAGAGACTTTGTTCCCAGAAAAGGACAGTCGGTTTTTGGTGGCGGAGAGAAAAGACTTTGTTCCCAGAAAAGGACAGTCGGTTTTTGGTGGCGGAGAAGAGACTTTGTTCCCAGAAAAGGACAGTCGGTTTTTGGTGGCGGAGAGAAGAGACTTTGTTCCCAGAAAAGGACAGTCGGTTTTTGGTGGCGGAGAGAAAAGACTTTGTTCCCAGAAAAGGACAGTCGGTTTTTGGTGGCGGAGAGAAGAGACTTTGTTCCCAGAAAAGGACAGTCGGTTTTTAGTGGCGGAGAGAAGAGACTTTGTTCCCAGAAAAGGACAGTCGGTTTTTGGTGGCGGAGAGTAGAGACTTTATTCCCAGAAATGGACAGTCGTTTTTTAGTGGCGGAAAGAAGAGATTTCGTTCCCAGAAATGGACAGTCGGTTTTTGGTGGCGGGGAGAAAAGACTTTGTTCCCAGAAAAGGACAGTCGGTTTTGGGTGGCGGAGATATGAGAATTTGTGCCCAGAAAAGGACAGTCGGTTTTTTGTGGCGGAGAGTAGATACTTTGTGCCCAGAAAAGGACAGTCGGTTTTGGTGGCGGAGAGAAGAGACTTTGTGCTCTGAAAAGCGTAGTTGAGTAGCACCGGATCTTTGGTTGGCAGAAGCAGCAAGTATGAGGCAGGAGCTGGTGCCTACTGGAGCGACGGATGATCGAAAGCTGATGATGACAGTGGCTGGTAAGCTGGAACTGCTGCTTTTGGCTGTAACTGTGGGTTGGCTGATCGTCTGCTGCTGGAACAGATACTACACACTCATCCTCTTCGCCCGGCAGTTCCGTATCTGCATGCTGATTTTATGACGACAGAGCGTTAATACATTTACGGATTTTGAGACTGGAAATGTTATTGGTCTTGACCTGGCATCTCAGCTTCAGTCACTTTCCCACCGCCGTAATGCAGCTTCCCTGTGCCTTTTCTATAAATACTTTCATAGTAATTATTCTGATGAGCTTTCTTCTATGGTACGTACACATTCTAGATTGTTGTGTCTTGCCAGACCCCACATCACAACAGCTATGTATTCTTGATAAAATCCAAAGAAGAATCTGCAATGTTATTGGCCCTGTCCTGGCATCTCGCAGTAATGTCGCTTCTCTTTGTCTTTTCTGTAAATACTTTCATGATAATTGTTCTGATGAACTTTGCTCTATGGTGCCTAAACTTTATGAATTTAAGCGCACTACTAGATTGGCAGGAAATTACCAGTAGAAATGGCAAAGATATAACCGTAAATTCTCAACTGGCAGTTTTTTTGCATGTCTGGCTGTTGATCTCTCTTCTTGCTTCCAAGTCAATCGTTATCTGCTGTCTTCTTAATTCATGTTATTTTATTATTCTCGCTCCTTAATAGTGTACTTTTTTCCCTCATATTGTCTCGTACTAAGTAACATCCCCTTGTGCTTTAGTGGCTTTATTGCCATGCTTAGAGTGAAATGATTAAAAAATCTATTGTTTTATATATAGTATATGCACATATATATGTATATATATATTTATCATACACACTGATTCGTAAATATGTGAGTGTTTAGAACTAGAATATTTCAAAGAGACTGTAGTGAACAAAACAAGATCTAGATTTAAAATTCAAATGCTAAGCACTGACTCATTGATTTTGTTAGAGATTAAAAAGACTCGAATTTACAAACTTTGCTTAACACACACCCAAAAGCAAATCCAAAAAAAAACACGTGAAATTTAACGAGTTTTGTTTTGGATTCGCTTAGCATTTGAATTTTAAATCTAGATCTTGTTTTGTTCACTACAAGACTTCCACTTTTATGATTCTGTATTTCATTAATATCGTTCTCAAACAAACTAAATAACAGATTATGAATATAAGATATTTAATACGTTTATCTGCTATTTGTTCTACATTTCAAGCTGTTTGCCAAAATGTTGATGAACTAGAAGGTATATTAGCAACAGCAAAGAAATTCAGTAATGATATCCCCATAGAATTTGACCAAGATAAACATGCTAAAGCAACATTTTTTGTGTCTGCTTGGGCGTAACGTTTTCCACTGACATGAAGTGGGGGGTTATATTGAATCAATTACTAGGACTACTGCTAAGAAAGTGGGTTCACTGTGTCATGTCATACTCCCTCTTGCACATTAATAAATCTACCATTCGTCCGTGCATTTAATATTGCTGCCATATCTGGCCGGGTGCTCCTATTATATATTTCGAGATTCTTGAGAAAATCCAAAGTAGTGTCTGTAATATAATCCATCCTGACCCGGCATATCGTCATCAGTTAATTTCCCACCACCGCGACGAGGCTTCCTCTGCCTTTTCTACAAATATTTTCACTATGAACTTTCCTCCTTCATACATCGACTGCGTGCTACTAGATTGGCAACTAGGTCTCACCGTTGAAATAACTAGTTGCAACTGTCAGTTCTATTCTAATATTTTTTTGCACTTCTTGACTGTGGAACTCTTGATTTCTTGCTTCTCTGCCACCTACAATCCTCAACAGGTTAAATGCAACGCCAATCGCTATCTTCCGTGTCCTGAATGTTGTTCCTTTATTGCCCTTTTTTCTCATTAAAGTCTTCTCATTCTCTTTCACTCCCAGTAACTCCTTTGCTTGTTAGTGGCATTATCGCCTTGCTTGGGAGGGGAAAAAAGAGCAAAATGTAACAACTTAAGAATGAAACCATGATTCATGAACTGGACTAGAAATTTGAATACAAATATTATAAAATTAATAAAAGACATGGAATCCATCAGTATCAATGAAGGAAAAATCCAGAAAGAATGTTTTTGACATATAAGAAGAATTAACTAAACTGAGCGATTAGGTTGTTGAGAAAGTAATGTCCGATTTTAGAATAAGCATTTTAATTAGGCTCTAATATATTATTATAATAGTTGCACAGAAATATACAACAGAAAACCAAGGTAGTAGTAGCAGTAGTAGTAGTAGTAATAATAATAATACTACTAATAAAGGGATTAATTCTAGCAGCTCAAGGTCAAAATGTGCTAATGAAATCCTACCAGGCACATATGTTAATGAATTGGACAAGTCCAGAATATCGCTTTTGTACAGATACCGAGGAAACTATTGCCTATCCAATATATTAGTGCTCTCCCCAAGCCCCGAATGAATTCAAATATAGACATGATAGGGTAGAGAAATACCTGCATTGGAAGATAAAATTCCAACATATAAGAATCTGGAACAAAAATTGCAAGCATGAGACATTTAAACACAACCACAATTCCAATAATTATAGGAGTACTAGGACTGATTTAAAATAATATTGATATGCACATTAAGAAAATTCGAGGAAATCTATTATTATCTGAAATACAAAAGAGTTCGTGAGAAGCGCGCTTATACACAGAAAAAAACTCAATGTAAAAAGTTCAAAACTTTTCTGAGAAAAACCTTGGTTTATTTCAGGTTTCAGGTAAAAGACTTGATAAAGTGCTGTACCAACTGAAAACTACGAAAACTGGAAAATAATAATAATAATAATAATAATAATAATAATAATAGCAATAATAACCTGAAATGCAGGATCTACGGAAAATAGGATGAAACTGTAAACCATATTATCTCAGGATGTCCGGAACTGGCAAAATATGAATATACCCACAGACATAACAAGGTAGCAACATATGTGTACTGGAAGAAACACAACATTGATTGCTGACCTGAGATGGAACAAATACATTGAGTCAATTGCTTCGTCCACAGCGAGGAAAGTTGGCTCTCTGTGCCGTGCCAGGAAATTTTTCTCCCCGGAATCGATACTTCAAATATACAAATCAACCATTCGCCCTTGCATGGAGTATTGCTGCCATATATGGTCTGGTGCACCTTCTGTTTACCTCGGAGTTCTTGACAAGATCCAGAGGCAGATATGTAATATAATTGGCCCTGATCTGGCATCTCGTCTATAGTCACTCTCTCACAGACGCGCCGTCGCCTCTCTCTGTCTTTTTTACAAATACTTTCATGGTAATTGCTCCGATGAGCTGCTTTCACTGGTTCCCAGACTCCATGAATTCAAGCGCCCTACGAGGCTGGCATCCCGATCCCACCCTTTCACTGTAGAAACTTTTAAATGTAGCCGTCTCTTCTACTCCAATAGCTTCATACCTCGCACCTCTCGCCTATGGAACACCCTTCCCTATTACTATTTCCCTGAGAGCTATAATCTCCAACTATTCAAATGTAATGTCAATCGACATCTCTAGTTACCTTGATCTATCCACTATCCCTCTCCTCATCCTTTCTTCTATCACTCCTATCTGCTCTCGCTCCAAATCTGCAACCCCTGCATCCTAGTGGCTTCACGCCTTGCTCGGGGCGTAATGCTTAAAAAAAAAAAACTAAACCACTGAGAGATGGTATGAGCACCAACCAGACACAGTTGACCAAAATAATGATATAACTATCTTTTGGGACATGTCAATTCAATCCAACAGGGGAATAAAAGCCAACAGATCTGATATTATCATAAAAGACACGAAACTCAGGAAGTATATGATTATTGATATAGCAGTACCATCTGAGAGAAATACCCTCATAAAAATTATCGAGAAATTGTTCAAATATAAGGAACTGGAGATCGAGATTAACAGGATGTGGGGAATGAAGACCGAGACTGTACTAATAATAATCGGAGCTGAGCAAAGAAATGGACAATTTTACTAAGTGTCCCAGCTAATATCAACATAGAAGTTGCCCAGAAGTTCGCCCTACTAGCAACATCCATATACTAGAAAAAGGGCTATCAATTAAATGACAATTCACCTATAGGTCCTAAGGATCATAATATGGACCCGGCTCTACAGGATACAAAGCAGGAAACATAACATACACAAATGATAATTATAATAATAATAATGAATACTCTGATGTTGCACCAGACAATGGCTCCCATGACTTCTGATTTTAATAAATTGAGGTGTTAAGAAGTTCATGCTTTGCCATAGTGAATTAAGCTGATCTACAGTAATTATCACATTTAGTACCACAGATTTGCCTGTTAGTTGTTTGATCATAAACAGTTGGACATTCCCATAGCGGTTGATGCACTTTAAATCTCTGTTCAATTGTTATTATATATATATATATATATATATATATATATATATATATATATATATATATATATATATGCACCAAAAAGAGACGCCGGTGTATAAATATACGAAACAATAATACCCATCATGCCCCTGAGTCTAATAAGTGTATACTAGGCACATGCTTCACAGCCAAATGTGAGCGATACGGAGACAGGTTTTCATAAAAAAGCAGCAAATTTAGGATCCAATTAAAATACTTTCAGGTCTGTTAAACCAGTCTGCCAGAATGTTATCGACAAAGGCTTTTTCCAAGTATCTAGATGTGACTGCTAAGTAAAACTTATTAAAAAAATCTTTTTGACATCCGGCCATGATGCTTCTTCACCACACCCTCTCGTGAACAGAGATGCACAGTGCGTCACTCCCTAGTGGATATGTCCAACTGGACAAGGTCAGGGAACTGACACGCAAATCTGTTGCCCTGAACAGGATATTTACTGCCACCCATCTTAATTCCTTAAGAAGACAAGACATATACATGATACACCTTCCAATCAATTAGGGTCAGAATGCGTGATGGTGGAACTTAAGAGCATTTATTATTATTATTATTATTATTATTATTATTTCAATTTCTGCTATAGTCACACTACCTACCAAGTCTGCGGAAAGACCTAAAGCAGGTAGTGGTATATTGTTATGGCTACATTTCATGATTTGTTTTTCTAACTCCCATGACATCACTAGCGTTACATGGACAAAGTTCTTCTTTGTATGTGGGCAGTACTTATCAAGAAAGTGTTTGAATTTCTGCTGGGATTTCCAGAGATTTTTTTCAATGTGTTGTTGCGCTCCTTTTTTATCATTCCAAGCGCACCTATGACTGATACTATTCTTGTTTGCAATTTCCATATTTTTCTATTTCGATTTCCAGGTCTTTGTACTTTGATAGTTTTTCAAATTCCTTGGTTACTGTGTTACAGTCCGTTGGGCAAACCATATCAATTAGTAGGCAAAATATTTCTTTTCGGATTTTGGCAATCATGTCCGGTCTATTTGCTTCAATCTTCCTATTTGTAAAGATGGTACAATCCCATGGAATTGTGACGTCTTCTATTTCTGTAACCGGTGCTGGGTGATATTCATACCAGTGTTTATAAACATCTTTTCCAAGTGTTTGTCCAGTGTAAATATTGCCCCACTCTATCGTGACGATTTTTATATTCATTTGACGCAAGTACAGAACATCTTGAGATTAGATAGTCTATGGTTTCCTGATATTTGTCACAGAACCTGCATTTTGGATCCACACTATTATGTATGATATTTGCCTGAAAGTTTTTAGTGAAAAGACTCCGGTCTTGCAAGAATAAAGCCTTCTGTTTCAGCCTATAATCCAGATGCAAATAATAATAAAATTATTATTATTATTATTATTATTATTCATGGGAAAGTTTCAAAATATCTCTGGAACACTCTTCGACGTCATAAATTTGAAGGCGCAGATAAGAAAAATCACAGCATAGCTAAAAACTGCAAGAATATTGAGAAAGGAATCTTAGAACTAAAAACAAATGTGGTTTTACTAAGCCAGCAGCTAAATTACTAAATACTTTTGAATATAAATTGGTAAATAAATCACACAGCTACTGTTGCTTATTCATGACGTCGCTGTGAGTGAAGAAACTTCTTAAGCTATTTTGAATTGTTCAGTATGCGAATTATAGAGACAACATCTTTCGTGGAAAGAATTATCGAATTTATTTGATAATTGAAGATAAGTATTGTAAAGAAGTGGGCGATGTTATTTGAAGTCAACATAAACACAGAGAAAATAGAATAGAAAAAAAAAACACCTACTGTATGTGAACAAAAGAAATTGAAAGAACGGATAAAGTGAAAAAGTGAAGAAAAAAAAATCAAGGGAAAAATATTTTTGGAATTGGATATAATAACGATAACACGATTAGTATTCATTGACCAATTATGACCATAATTAGTTATTTCGTTTAAAGCGGTTCTGTTGCAGAGATATTTCAGAAATGTAATATATCACAAAGTGTGCGTGTGTGCTTTCATGTTTAATGAACACTAAATAGCAGACAGTTAAGCAAATGAATGAATGAATGACAGAAGAACGAAAAAGAAAAAGAACGAACAGAACGATGAAAGGAGGAAAGAAAGAACAAAGGAGATAAATAATGAAAGAAACAAAGAAAGAAAGAAAAAAAAGAAAGAAAGAAAGAAAGAAAGAAAAAAGAAATAAAGACATAATAGTCACTTTGCAAACGTTTTCGCTGTTGATGTACGTAGACCAAGAATAAAATGAATTCCCCAGAGACTAAATAGAATCGCTGAAAAACTGGTATTAGTCACAGTAGAGTACAAAATGAAGACAAGGTGCGAATTTCAAAACGGGAGATGCTACGTAATTATGGTCGTTGGGTGTTTAGCAGGTAAAGTAGCACAAACATTAATTAATGTCCTTTCGAGAGCATCGCGTTAAGGTGTCTCAAGACTGTCAAAATGAAGATTGTGTTAAACAATGTTGATAACAGTTGATTGGAACTCTCCCAAGAAATTTTTCTCGAGACTTTTTACAGGTAATAGTTTTAAGTCAAATCGTGTTCCCAAAAGATATTAAACCAAATTAACGTCTAGTATGGTTCTATTTGAAATAAGCAAAACTAAACAGTTTCAAGTTTTTTTTTTAAGATGAAATCATAATGAATACTGTTTGGGAGACTACTAATGGCCACAAGGAATAGGAAGTTGTGGAGAGCCATGATCATCTATGTCATGAAGAAAATATCTGTACTCACACATAAACACTTTTTCTCTGACTTTGTACTCATTAATCAATATATTTCTCTCTTTCTCTCTTAACTTACTGATTCACTTTTCTCCCCCTTTCTCTCTCGCTGTACTCACTTGACAATTAATTCTCTCTCTCTCTCTCTCTCTCTCTCTATTCACGTGTTCTCAGTTTTTTTAGTCTCTGTACTCACTAACTAGCGAATTCTCTGTTTTTCTCTCCATTCATTTATACACACGCGCGCACGCACACACACACACACACACACACTCACTCTCTCTCTCTCTCTCTCTCTCTTAACTCCCTCCCTCACTCACCCATTTTCTGCCTCTGTGCTCACTAACCCATACATTCCTCTCTCTCCCACTACGCGCTCACTTAGACTTTTCTCTCTCTGCCGCTCTATTCACTCGCCTATCTTTTGCCTCTCACTTTGTACTCACGCGCACACTCAATAACCCATACATTTCTATCTCTCTACTCAGTCATTTTTCTCTTTATCTCTTCCTTCGCACGCACTTACTCCTTTTTCTCATACTGTACTCACTCGACCACTCTCTCTTTCTCTCTCCCTCCCCATGGACAGACTCCATGGTTGTTAACAAGAGAAACAGCCCAACATGCAAATTACAAATTGGAGATACCAAAATTAAACAAGTACAATAATTTAAATATCTGGGAAGTGTTTTAACAAGGTACCTCTACGAAAACGCTAAAAAATCAGCATACCGTGATGAAAACATGCCCTAAAAGTAATGAAAACATAGTTTATCGTCAAAATCTTTGTTATTATTAAGAGGAAAGATCAAAGGATCTTTTGATTATTTAGTTAATTTTTTTACTCTTTTTTAGAACATTCGAAATTTTTATTTAAAAAAAACTTGTTTTTCTTGCGTGTGCCGGTTGCACTAACTTTTAGCAAATTTTGTCCTCTTTTATGTGGTGACAGACATTATTTTTAGAAATTCTTGCAAAAATCAAATAATTGTTGGATTTTAATGAAATTTTCAGGACTTATTCAGAAATGAATGAAATTAATTTTGAAATTTTTTATTAGAAAATTTTGCTAAAAATACTTTTTTTTTACATGTTTCAGCCCATTACTTGAGAAATTCAACGTGATAATTTTTAGTAACTATGTTAATTAAAGCAGAATTTTTTGAAAAATGTAAATCATGGTTTTTTTTTGGTTTTTTTTTTTTGCAAAATCGGACCCCATCTTACTAAAATCTGTTCTGAATAGAAAAATAAAAAAAATAGATAAAACTAAGATATTATTTAATTAGAGAAACTTTTAATTCCTTTTATGAATAATATATATTGAAGACAATATTGTCTGAAGAAAAAAACTTCGATGAAAAATGCATTTTTACAAAATGTTTTCGTTTTTTTTTACAATTTTAAATTGAATAATTTAGAAAGTTTTAAACATTTTAAACTTCATTTTCAATGTAATAATAATTCTTAGAAAATATTGTTATTAAGTAAAACTAATCATATATCGTAAAGCTTATTACAATCTGACGACTCCGAATATTTTTAAAAGAATTTCGATTTGTTTTTGTATGTGTGATTACGTGAATAATTTCTGAAGTATGGATGTACAAACCGATAAATCTATTATTAAAAGGTCATGTGTTTTAACGGTTTCCCCCTTAAAAACTTTATCGTTTTCTCCACCATACCTAACTATGAACACGTTCGACTGTCATTAAATAGATTAACACATCAGAAAAAACAAGATCCCATAGTTAAGAAATGTTTGTATACAACATTTTATGCTATAAGTATTTTTTTTTTTAACATACAATGTGTGTTAGCACGTGCGATACCCTGTCTTCATCAGCCGCCGACCAGGGGTGATCTCACGGTTTCGGTGGCTATGGCGGGGCCGCCACCCCTGGCGCCACCAGCAGCGTTTGCCACCAAGCAGGGTATGAAGATAAGCTAATTGATCGTTCCTTTAATTAAATTCTATCCGTAATGAAAGTTTCTTGAACGCGTTTGCCGTTATTGACACGCTCGTAAAAGTCGTTATAGACGACCACGCAAATATTTCATTTGCGCATGTTAGGTTGTGATGTTGCGCGCAATTTATTTGCTTGTTTTGATCTCGACCAAATCCAACTTGACGCGTGTTGAACATTTTTTGAATGCGATGCGAAACGCTTTTCAAGCAACGGCCAGTGATGCCTATTTTTGAAAGGAAGGAAATGACTGAATGTCCCAGAAACCCACGACACCCAATCTCAATAGGCATCACGTTACGCGTCCAACCATTTTCCATACATTCGGCACACAGTGACTCGTACCGGTTTTTCTTTAGTTCGTACGCCTCCACCCTGTTCTCTTCCCAAGGGACTGTTAATTCTATTAGGAAGACAGTCTTTTTAGAGTCGGACCACAACACAATGTCGGGACGCTTGTCTGTCTGTGCGATGTGTATTGGAAATTTTAAGGATGTCATTAGATCCACTGAAACCTTCCAATCACTAGCACCACTCAGCAGCTTTATATTGGGGGCTGTTTGTTTTTTCTTTGTAGGGCATTCCCCTTCCTTATGGAATTCGATCTTAGTTTCCTTGGTTGCCACAAGCTGTTGATTTGCTGTCTCACATTGTGTTCTTATTAGATCCCTTATCACCTCTAATATCTTATTGTGTCGCCACGTGTACATCTGGAGCGATTGTGGACAAGCAGAAAGCACATGACGCAAGGTACCTCGGTCTTTTTGACACGAAAACAGAGATCTGTATCTGTGTATCCACACATTTTCAGGTTCATTGGGAGAAGATCGTATGTATTTCAAATCAGATTAATTTAACTTTAAATTTGCTAATTTTCCTCAAATAACGTTTCAGAAATATATATTTTATTTTTGCAAGATTTTTAAAACTTAGAATTAACTTTTAATGTGCTAAAATGACTGATTTTTATTGATTTTACTGAAAAAAATCAATTCAATCAATATAATTTCTATTTAAAATACAGAGTATTTTGCTGACTGGAAATAGTAAATTTTAAATCCTTTAGCTTTCAAATGAAGCTAAAATGAAAACTTCAAAGCTTCATTTTTAAAAATTCATTTAAAATCTTACGTATACCGAATTAGTGGAGGTACCTAATTTTAACAGAGGACGGAACGAGTGACAGTGAATTCCGAAGGCGCACTGAAATAGCGAAAGATGTCTTCCAAAAACTAAACAAAGTATTAAGATTCAGAAAAAACTTCGTTAGAAACAAAGAAAAGAGTACTGAACTGTTACATAATATCTGTCCTCCTATATGGTAGTGAATGCTGGACAATCTTCTCACAGATGAAGAAGAGATTGAAGCAACAGAAATATTGTTCTACAGTAGGATGCTGAGAATACCATGAACTGAACATGTGAGCAACGACAGTGTTAGAGAAAATGCAAACAAAAAGGATACTTATACTTAACATAAAAAAGTGACAGTTGAAATTTCTAGTGCATATAATGAGGAAAGAGGGCTTGGAAAATCTGATACTCACAGGACAGATTGAAGGCATAACTTATCTAGCTTGTGTAAATTGATGATGGAACTGCGTTTAGGAGAGACAACAAAAAACAAAATTTATTAAGAGTTACAAAGGACAAGAAATTGTGGAAAGACATGATCACCAATGTTCTGAACAGACACGAAGAAGAAGAAGAAGAAGAAGAAGAAGAAATTTTACTAATGCTGTACAACAAACGGACCTTATAAGGAGATCGAGCAATGCACACGCGATCAAGAGATGTGAATACCCTAAGACAGGGAAATGAGGGCGGATCTGAACAATCTATTATTATTTTTTCTAGTCGACATTTTTACTGTAGGTGTGGTAAAGTTCACAATGACATTCAATCGTTGCCATTTTTTCCAACTTGACACTCTGTCATTTTGACAGGCAGATTTATTCCTAATGTTGTCTTCTTGGTTTTACCAGCTTCGATATTTAGAATTGTTATTCTTTATGGGTCGCGTCACTTCAGCACGTGGACGATCATAGCTCTCCATAGCTTCCTGCCCTTATAGCTCTAAGCCTCGTTGAACTCGTTTACCACCTCTCTTTGTCCTCACTCTACCACCCATTCACACGAACACGTTGCTGTTTCCCACTGGCTCTCTTTTCCACAGTGTTTTGTTGGATTCTCCAAGCCTTCTTTCCTCATAATGTGTCCAAGAAATTTCAACTGTCTCACTCTGATTCTAAGTCTAGTGCCCTTTTTCCTTTTTTTAAAATCCTTGTTGCTCACATGTTCAGTCCATGGCATTCTTAGCATCCTTCTGTAGAATCATATCGATGTTGCTTTGAGACTCCTCTTCATTTGTGAAGTTTTTTAAACGAAAAACGATTTCTATTTTGGCCGTTTGTTTATAGAAGTCCTGAAAAGAAGAAAAAGATAATAGCAATGCTCGCAGGTTGTCTCACGCCGTGGATGACTCGTGAA